TGAACATAGGTATGCTAACTGTTGTTAAACCTCATAGTCATCGATAACTTCTCAAGTGATGTTTACTTACAGTGACCTACTGACAAAAGTTAGTCAGTATTCAAATAAGACTTACTAGCTTGTAGTGTGTCGATTTACTGCGTGTTCTCAAGCTCGGTAATTAACTAGTTCAGACAAACCTTGCCAAATAGCGTCTGGCGGTTTATAAATCAGAAGATGAATTCGTAGTGATGAATACGTTTATTCGGGACACACCACAAAGCGAAGCGAAGAGGAGAAGCAGTGAATAAAACGAACGAAGCAACGTGAACTGGAGAAGACTTTGAGCCAACTCCCTGGATTACAGTGCGAACGAATGGGCGAAGCGAATCGGAGAAGGCTAAGAGCCAACTCAAATAGATAGAGCATGACTAAGAATATATAGTCACACAAAAATAGGACAGACAGATGACAAGCGAAATAGGCATGCACAGACATGAATAAAAGCGACGAATGACTGACAAGGTCAAAGGTAAGCGATACAAATCATGTGAGTTCATAGGGGTATTAAGAGATTAACATTTAAGCGAAAAGGATGAGTCAGCGCGTTGGCGTATGCAATGCTCAGTCGTACAAGCTCATACAAACCACACAATAAAAAATACCAATGGTACATATAGGTTGTTGCTATACAAACAGCGTCAAAATCTAATTACAAAATAAGTTTGTCATGCCATCTCCACAAGCTACATAGACAAAAATAACTAATCGCAGATGGATATTACCAGCTATTATGGTTCATCAAAAAATTTTAGTAGCATCTGAATGGTTCCTTTAGAAAGGTTTGTTAAAATATTGACTGTCAGCAAATAAATCGTTGCACGAACATAGATATACATAGGCTGACAATCAGTGTGAGCAATGGTATTATAGGTACCTTGATGAAATCCACGGAAATGCACCTCATGAATGTGTAACTTATGGCTGCGTTCATATGAGTGCGTATCTGCTCTACTTGCATTGCTTGTCTGGTTATGAATGCTTATTCATGCATCATCGCATTGACTTGAATAACTGGCCTTCTTCAGCTCGCTTCTCTTTACTTTTCCGCTTTTTGTTCTTGTTGGCTTTTGATGTATTTACAGTGGTGGTGAACCAAATGTTTCTACTGCTTTACTTGATCGCGATGTTTTTTTCCTTGTTACTCAGGCTGTGAGATGTCATGTTGATGTACGATGCCTTGAATCTGTAGTGGAACGCTTCTACGAAGAAAATACGATTTGTGAAAAACATTATTGTTCTCGTTTTGTTTAACTGTACCAAAAACACTTCTTGCGCGCAAAGTTCTCCTCGCGTCGCTGCCATTTTTCCAAATGCCCTGCTCCTCATGTAATGCCAACGTTCTTCTTCATTAAAATACTCAACCATGGATTTATTTTGATTTCAATGATGACGGGATATTATGGATCATTTAGTGGTGAGCATAGTCAATCTGGTATCTTGACTCGCTCACTACAAATCCTCAGGAGTAATTGATATAATTAAGTAGCTGGCATATGAAGGGATGGTCAAACTGAGTGCGCCTATTCCGACCACCATCTGTAGACGGAAGGATATATAGAACTGTTTACTTAACAGGTAAAATCTCTCTTCAATCTCTAAACATATGGCGTTGAATCAATGCTCTTTTACTCATGTAACTGGGGTTCAGGAACTCAGTGAACGCCGACGCTGGATGCACAGCTAATGATATTAGTTAACGTAAGACACTTCAACTTCCATGAGAATACGTAGACACGAAAGCTGATATAACGATTGTGGATCAAAGTCCGATGAAAATAACTAAAATCGTTTTTCCCCGGTTTTATTCAAATTGTGTTTTCTTTCAACACGCCTAACGCCTAACACATTTCTGTACGTCGTGACTTCTTATACTGACTATTCGAAGCTGCTTACGGAGGACAAAACTAAGTACTTCATCGCTAAGAATGAGACCACTAACAAGAACGGGACCAAAGAGAAATAACCAACATTGACCGGCCGTGAGCCGTCTATTTTGAGTGAAATTCCGTCTCTTTCATTCAAATGCACTAATCAACGGTCTACCTCCCACGCCGACGACCTAATGGTATTTACGTCACGGTCACAACGGAACGTCGCCAGTATCCGACAAGCGACCTAAATCAAAGATATCCATAAGAACTGTGATTATGGAATGATCTCAGGTGGCAAATAAATCCTCGAAATTGATGGTTTTGTAGGTATTCGATAATGGTACTGACTTTAGTAGTTTCAGTGGACAACAGATAACCACTCGGTACATTTTGATACGCATTGTTTGTATCAACTAGCCATCTTGGATCACGCTCTTTTTAATTCTGACTATAGTCTAAATATATATTTGATCTTCACTCCTGAATTCTGGTTAGATTGAGTTGGCGATGCTTGACTAGTAAAGTATTGCGAAAAAGCGACTTCAAGCCTTGAATATCCATGAAGTGAATAAACTTATGTCCTAGTTTTGTAAGCGCAAAGACTTGAAAATGTGCCTCAAGACAAGGTAGTATGCACAACAAAAATATTATATTTATATCTCCTGATTTACAGCCTCATGGATTTTCTGAATGAATATCTAGGTCATATTCATGCGCAAATTCTCGAAATTTCGCGCTACTGACATCTGACCTTGAATATAAGTTTGTCTTGATCTCACGTCTAAGTGACTACGGATTGTTGGCGATTTCTATCATCAATAAATGTAAGTTTGTTCTTGTTCTTCTTCCGTTCATATAATCCCACCTTTCGCTCCTCACCTTTCCACAAGACACCCTCAAGCTGAACGCAAACTCACCAAGATTGGATAGTAAACGCTAAGGTCTGACTTCTGCAATGTTTATAGATCTCACTTCTAGAAAACGATGGCAACTGTAGATAAATAATTTCCGAAAGTCACTAGTTGATATCTATTTGTGAATTCGAGACTCATTCATGCCATTGTAACGATGGCACTCACAGTTGTTCATCACAGTACTAGTACTAATAAGAGGTGCAGTTCGAAATAATATAGAAAAGCCTACTACGAATCTATAAAATTTAGGTAGTGGGAAGGGCGACATTAAAAATCATTTTAAGCTGTCATTCAGTCTCTAACTAATGGTTACGATAATCACGTGGACCTGAACTACCTAGTCTACACCTGTGAACACGGCTCAAAAGGATTTTCGGTGACTTTTAGACTAACGCCATGTCTTGATAGCGCATAGCTTATATCGCGCGTCAAGGTAGGCGATTGCCGGGAATAGGTAACACATGTCCTGACAAATTCACTTAGTAAAAACATACTACGAAGTTCGACTGTCCATATCTTCCTAATATTCTATCCATAACCCGTGCTCCCTAAGAGTCCCAGAATAATTAAGCGATACTCCAAAGACTGAAACATATCTACCGTCTGTATTCCTATTCGTAAATCTGAGTTTTACTCCATATTTACCACGCTTATTAGTCATTGCTGTTGGTTTCATTGTATCGAGTCCCTAGTTTCTCGTTTTTTTTATTAGTGTAATAACTCTAACCGATGCATTATTGTGCCACTCTGCGTTTAGTTCGCTGACAGAAACAGACTATAAGTAGACATTTCTGTACTTTGTGATTTATTATTCGATCTTCCATGTAGACCGAATAGTTGACTGAAGCATAGACGAAAGGTTGATGTTGTCTGTTTCCATTCATGACAAGCACTTTGAAGCCCACAAATGCTAGAATTATTAGACACCTATAAAGTGAAAAGTTCCTATATACTATATTAAACATGTAATTAAGTGACTTGCTACAATCGTACCTTGAGAAGACGTCGAAAATTATTTGCATTACTTGAAGTACAAGCACTTAGATCTAAAAGACTTGCTGTTCAAGTGTTCGAAAATCGAAAGCCACTATATGCGGTAATGAGCGATACGTAATAGACTGGAAACGTTAGGCGAAAATAATCAACGCATGGCATGATAGATTTTGACGCTTTTAAATATCATTACTACCCAGCTACCCTTAACTTTCTGAGTGAACATCTTAAAATATGGGTGTCATAAATCTATACCACAAACAGATACTAATAATAACCAAACACAGTTATTCTAAAAATAATGTCGACTGGAAAACCTTTTTGTCTAAGTAACACTATTACTAGTAACGGAAAGTTAGGGTATGTTCATAAAATCAATCTGTAAGTTCAGCATAAATAGGACGTTAGCAACTCTGAACCTAAAAAATAATGATCCAGCTTACACCAAAAAACAGTACGACTGCGTTAAGTGATAACGTGACATTGCCATATGCAATTTATACTCCTACTAACTACAGATTGTGTTGAAACCAGTGATCTTACGTGTAAATACCTCTATATATTTAAACTTCCTAGACCAATATTACAACAGCAGGAAATATTGATTGGAGTACTTATTTCTTTGTTTTTATTACATGTGCTTGGTAAATCTATAACTGTCTAATTTTTTTTCTGGCTTATTGAACTGCAGCTAAACGTTTAACACAAGTTGAGTTTCAAATTACAAGCTGACGTTAAGAACCTAAACTCACTGGTTGCCCGCTTTGCCTAGTATGGAATTTCTCAGCTGTATGCATCTGGAAACCCAACCTAAGGCCTTCGAACCCGTGCGGAAACGCCTGGCTTCTAGACTAGAGTAAACATTCGTACTAATTTCTAGCTTAAATCAGTTTACAATATTACCCAACGCGCTTCCACTGCATGAAGTGGACAATTATATCATATCTAACATGGATGATCTCTGCCGGTCACGGTTTTTCACTAAGACTTGCCCATTGAATCTAGTCACTAGTGATCACATGATCATTATCCGTATAGGGTTCTGTTTTTCGAATGTTTGAAGTTATTATCTCGTTAGTATCAACACTTCACACACATCGACCAATTTTCGTATAAAGTGCATACTTTATCAGAATAGCACTTTCTATTTACACCGGCCGTAAGAGAACAAACAATCTTTAAAAGATATTATTTCACATTAAGATTACAATTTACATCAAAAGAAGTAAAAACTATTATTATTATTGATAAGATTACTAAAGTTTACGAAGCAATTTTCCTGTATTTTCACCTAGAACACGTACTCTATGACTAATATTCAATTGATTTTGTTCTTCTTTCTCTTCATAATATATACCAAGTCGATGTAACAATCGAATGGATAAGTTTGGAATAACTGGTTGCAGAAGCAATGCACATATTCTTAATGATTCAGATACTATAGATAATACAGACTGCCTTCTTAACGGCTCTCGTTCAGTCCATGGGCTGTGACGATCAATAAATGCATTGGTTTGTCGAATTACACGTAAGACTTCTTCAATAGCTTTATGAGGTTGAGCTTCATACCACCAAAGTTGGTCGAAATGATGAGAAATATTATCTAGACTGGGATAAAAATGAATAAAACACACTAAAAAAAATCATTTAGTTTTTCATTATGCCACAACAACTTATGTTGGAAAAAACGTTTTAGTCAACAACAACAACAACAATAAATTGTGGACATGCATTTGATGCATTACTGTTGTTCACTTAATGAGTTATTTCTAAACTTCAAGAAAAGCCTTTTTTGAAATCTCGACTTATTTCAACAGCTGAAAGACCCAATTACTTTTGTACAAACCAACATATTTTTTCCGACCTTCACAAAATAAGTCGAAAAAATGCATCGCGCGTCACTGTACATTATGAAAAAATAAGGAGCTGCACAACTACGTACATGAAATAGATAAACTTAAATTCGTCGTATTTAAACGAGTAGTATTGTTCATTGTGCAACTTCAAACTAACTTTTCTAAGGTCGATCAAAGTATGTTAATGCAAAAAAAAACAAGTTCGAAAAACAACAGCGATGAATTTTCGGCCGGTTGTTAGCCACCAATCAGAAATGGTTTGTTTTATTTTAATGGAAAATTTAAGAAAAACGGTAAATAGTCCTACCGGTTAACATGTTTTACATAATTAATCAATCTGTTGAAGTCTTCTACACATTGACCTGTTGATAAACCAATGGCATAAATTTGTTAACAAGGATTGCCCATTTCATTTTTTTTAATAAAACTCAAATAGATTTACAGAAATCTCTACATCGATCCTGATTAAAATTAAGTAGTTATGATTACACGTTTTAGATCAACATTTATGGTTACATGTTTGAATGAGCATTCAGAGGTACCTTTGATTCGCGCGTTATGTACAATTTTAAAATGAGAAAATTAAGCATTTGACACAATCGATTTTATCTTGTGATGTAGAAAAATAATTTTTCGTTATCACTAAGCTAAACAAAGGAGTTTCTATTGATTCCTTCACGTGATATTCAAATTAAAAGTCATTTGCTGCAAGGACGTACGTAATGTATCGCGAAAACCCGATTGATTCGAGTGTTTAAAGTATGGAGGAGGTGTCATAGAAAAGAAACAAAACTGCATAGCATTTTTAATGAATGATTAATGTGAATAAACTAACCTGTTAAGAAAATCTATATCCATATTATCATTATGAAACATGTGATCCACTTGTTCACGAGTAATTTGTATGATAGAATGTTCAGGGTTTAGAGATTCAGATGTAATGCTACAACAATAAAGTGAAAATATCCAAAAAAAAATCTCTATTGAATAAATGAGAATAAAAGAATTGCTTCAACTGTATTTTGCAATACAATTAATGATCAAAACACTCGACTATTGTGTTTTTGCTATAATGATGAAGAAAGTCATTTCAATCACAATCCTAACTAGATGGATGATTGAATGAGTTCCTTGCACCGACAGAAAACTGTGGTGTACTACACATTATTTGACAGTGACCAGATATGCATGTATATATATGTAAGCCAGATTGATTTGACACAAGGATAAACTGAGACAGAAAGTTGTAGAACTTTTTATAAGATTAGTTGTTGTTCTGTGCTTTATCAATAGGTATGTTCATTCAAACTATCCAGTTAGTTACTAGAAAAATGATAAGTTTGGGAAGAAAGCTAAAACCCTATCAGCTGATGACAATTTCGTAGAAAGAAACTAACACATGCTTGGCCAGAAATAATCAGTGTATAATTTGGCGCCTTCGTGCATCGATTTTACCGTTTTCCAATTTTTAACACCAAGAGAAATTTAGGCAAATAAAAAACCAAACGACTATCTATGGTAGTTAGAACCGAGAACGCAAGAAATACAGTTTTTAACAGGAATAAATGCGCTAATCTCAACTCTGTGACCTGAAGAGTAAAATTCTTCCATTAGGATCCTGTCTTACTTTCCGAACGGATTTAGGCAAAACAACCACTGAAAACTTAGCTGTGAACAGTTGCTTCGTTGTTCTACAATACCACAGCTAGAATCCAGTAGTGCAGAAGTCTGAAAGACATCTATTATCGAATATAAGCATCTCGTGATATACTGTAAATAACGCTCACACATACGCTAAGTAAGATTTGTGCTGTTTGATTAATGAAAGTGAATTATGAGATTTGAGAATTTGTTCACAGATCTACTTCAGGCTAAATGTTTCAAGCTATTACATGTAGTTTATTTACTGAAACCAATCAAATAATAACGCACTTACCGAGAAAGCAAATTTCCAATCCAATTAACAAGTTCTGTATTAATCATTTTACGAGCCATTTCACGACTATAAGTACCATCAAATGTAAGCAAAGGAAGGCGAAGTAATACATAACGAAGCATATCTGATTCAGCCGGTGTTATAACATGATTGTTGAATTCTTCCGATAATAAAGCAGATTGTTCAACAATCGGGTCAATATGATTACCTTTACTTTTAGACATCTATATATTATTAATCACAAAGAGGAAATAAGTAAGACTATTTGTTAACAAAAACGACAATCGAAAATCAAGCATAAGCTTATAGAGGATCTGAAAACAAACATTAGAAGATGGTAGTACTATAACCAGACAAAAGTGAACTGAAATTCAAAATTACTCAGTCAGTCAGTCAGATGCAACGTAGAACTTCGTACGTAAGTACATCAGTTCATGTCGCCATACCACATCAGCACAGAGATATAATTGTCAATTCAAATCCAATAGTAGTAGAGGTAGTAAGGGAATTAGAAGTAATCGGAGAGGTTAGGGTTAGAAGATACTATTCAAGAAGTATGATTCAGTGAGAAAAGTTTAGAGAGTCGAAACTAGAGGTGTTGAAGAATCCAGAAGATTAGGGTTTGAGAGAACACAAAGAATAAATGCACCGGCGCCATTGCAAACGGTTTTGAGCCATGTCATTCAAGGTCTCTAACCATCGATTATTATCATCTCGCGGACCCCAACCAGGTAGTCGACAATTACCGACATGGCTAAGTCCACTCGTCAATGACTTCATGGATTTCTGCCATGTTTTGGTTTGGCCGCCCCTAACTTTCTTCCAACCTATTCCTACACTACAAAACAAAGCTCGACGAGGCAGTCGGTGGTTGGGCATACGCAACACATGTCCCAACCACCTCAACTGATGAGTTCAAAATTACTAAACAAAAACGAGATCATTTAGAGTTTTACATCACTCGCTACTATCTATAGTCAAGAAAATCTGCGTTTTCCTAACTGTATGTCCATGACTGGGGGAATAAGGTCCCTCAAAATAATTCAGTCGAAATTACCAACCCTTTCAACTAGATCATCTTTTTTAATTGTTTTGCCCTATGGACTAGATGATTTAATAGTCTTTATTATCAATTTGGATAACATCATTACTGCCTAATGATTTGTTTTGAGTAATCTCGTAATATTGAATTTTAATATTTATCTTAACAAGAACGACTCAAGTATTGAAGTTGACGGTTGGTCTAAGATAGATTTTACCTAAGAACGACTGAAGATTATTCTAATACGGCACAATGTAAAAGAATCAGAGTAGACCAGAAATTTATCACACTTCAAAGTTAAATCCACAATGACTTTGTACAGGAATCGAAGAGGATCAGTAACATGAAAAGATTTTGGAGCACATAACATGGCAAACTTTCCCCGCACAAATCATTACTATCAACTTGTAGCCGTAGAAGAATATATTTTACTAGAAGTGGAAGTTAGTGATACTATATCTACGATTTCCAATCTACAACCAAGAAAATCTGTGCTACCTCGTATAACTAACACCTCCCAATTTTATCCGCTGGCATCATGTCGTCTGTAGATCCATAACTAAGTAATATGTTTCTGAAGCATTTCATTTGGACCAAGTTGACAAACTTTGTTCACAACAAACTTGCACCAAAATCTTATATTCTATAATTCCATCACTCATGACAAAATATTGTATGTAAATTTAACAATTCAATAGCGATGTAGTAAGTTTACAGTGAGATAGGTTGTAAGTTCAAGATTCGACGTACAGTTGGTCAAGTGTTTAAAACATATGAGTGGAGATTTACAATCGTTAGCAACGATGTAAATCCATTCACTCTTTGTCTTTCCTTAAATCCTCAGTTCCGAAGTTTCTTGGTACTTTTTTTTACTCTGTATACTTAATATGTTCTACTACTACTGATACTGATATTGTTATTACTTCTACTACCCCGGCAATCGTCTTCATAGTTGTATCTCTCTGTGTTGATGTGGTGCAGTAACTTGAATCGACGCAAATATATACCATGTTCTGACTGACGTAGATATTTGGATATTTCACCTTGAGTTACGCTTCAAGTATGAAGCTAAGTGACGCCCCACCCGTTGCTTAAACTGAGGTAAACAGAGTGAGATTTCAGCCTACAACTTAAAGGGTTTAACTACTATCAGGTTACTGCTGCATCACATAAAATAGCAAACCTTTCCAGTAAAAAATAGAAAACTACCTTGACATTGTCTATAAGTACATGATGATGACAAATGAGACGTCGTGGTAACGGTAGATCAACAGCCATTAGTAACGCAGGCCACAGAACCGCGTGAAATCTAACGAGACGTAAAATTTAGATGGAAAAAGTAGTATTAATGAATAAAAGTACTACAACAACTAGTGTATTATCCGGTTTGTAATAAATGTCTTGCACTCTTTCACTACATAGCTAATGTTAAAGAAAGTTTGGAGGTAGAAATTACATTTGCTACGAAATGAGGACTTTGATTTATATCTACGAGCTGAATACATGAAGAGCGTTTTTCGCTACTTCAGTCAATCAGCAACAAGATAGAACTACGTATGTACGTACATCAATTCAAGGTTCCATACCACATTAGCTCAAATCCCATAGTGGGAGATATAGTAGAAGTATTAGAGGTATTGGAGAAGATTAGGGTTCGAAAATATATTATTCAAGAAGTATTATCCGGTGAGATAAATTCAAAAAGAGGAAAAAATGGCAATGAGGAATTTACAGCATTAGAATTTGATCGAAGATGAAAAGTGGATGCATCTGAGCCATACAATTCAAAGTCTTTAACCATCGGATACTATTGTCTCGCGGACCCCAACCACATAGGTACTTGATTTCGCCTCTGTTGATGGCTGCAGTTGATATTTTTTTGATGAAGTCGTGTGGATAGCCGTTCTTTTGGAAGTTAGTCATTAGATAGATATTTTTCTTCGTTTTTCTGTACTTACATACAATTAAGTGACTAAAATGGTTATCCTACATTAACAAAAAAGATTGCAGAGAGTTGTTTGCAATTCTCCTGTCACTTTATCAATGATTATACGATAAAAGTACACGAGAACGGAGATACTAGTTCAAAGATGTACCTACCCTAAACACAAATACAAGTAGTGAAGTTTGATTTTATATCCCACTATGTAAATATATATGAGAGCCATATATAATCACTGAGTAACATTGTAGTGAACGAGAACACAGGATAGGGCAACCGAATTGTATTTAACGAAAATTACAGAGTTACTCAGTAAAATAGGAAAACCATATCGTAAATCGTTCATTTGCAAAATATCAGTCCATCATATCGAACTGGACTGTTCCTGTTGCAAAACATCAATCCATTGTCACTACTATTCATGCGTTTCATACAAATTCTATTGTGTTCTAACTCTTCCTTTCTTGATCTTCCCCCCATTTTCTGCTGTCAGACATTAAGTTGACGCTCACGTCATATACTACTTATAAGTAGCTCGCACCACAGCACCATACTATAACTATTGAACAGTTACAAACTGGAAGTGTTCCCAACATCTCTTTTTCAACATGTTAATTTACTGTGACAATTGAACTCGATGCACATCTATCCTAAGCTCTAAATGTTGATGATTTTGATTGATCGATAGAGATCTCGAACAATACACAACAGATCAACATTTTCAATAGTCGAGAATATGAATGATGGTATACTTTTGCCAAGCATATATAAGAATTTAAATTATATTCATAAGAAAAGCGATGTATTAAGAGTCTGTTTAGCATATTCATTCAACAAGAAATTTAAAATAAAATACCCACAGAATCTTTTCTAATTAGAATATGACAGTATAAAAGTAACTACAAATAATAACAGTAAGTAATAGATAGGACTAACCGTATTATATCTTTTCCTAAAAACTGTATATCTGGTGGCCAAAGAGTGTGTTTTTTACAATTAGCATCATTAACATTCGACCATGGGAAACCTGTAACTGTTAAGTAATTGACCAAAGCATCCAACCAAACATAGATCTGTTTTTAAAGAAATAAATAGTAAAATTATAAGAAAAGAATACACTGGGAATTAACAAACTTTCTACAATCATTTATAATATGTATACACCTGTCTCTCATTTCCATATAACGTAGACTTTTGCTTCAGAATGGGTCTGTGTCAAGGCTTAAAGCTAATAACAAAGAGAGAAAAGTAGTTGAGTGCATCTGTAGTGAAGGAGAACACAGGTGAGGGCAACCGAATTGTATTTATCTCAAATTACAGAGTTAATTGGTAAGATAGGTAAACCATATCAATCCATCATATCGAACTGGACTGTTCCTGTTGCAAAACACCAATCCATTGTCTGACATTTCACTGTTCATGCGTTTCATACAAATTCCATTGTGTTCCCACTCTTCCTTTCTTGATCTTCCCCCATCTTCTGCTGCCAGACATTACGTTTTTACTCGCGTCATATACTACTTATAAGTAGCGCGCACCACACATCAACCTATTCACTTATCTTAGAACATACTGGTTTTGAGACTAAAAGGTTCCAGAGTCAGGGATATAAACCAGAGTTGTGATTGCGTACTGCTGAGCAGTTTCAAACTAGGATGAAACACCTGTTGAATGTCAACTTAGTACTCAACGGTTCAGCAGTTGATATATAGTCTATGATGAAACTCAACTTCATGTAATGACACTACTTTACTGCCGGAATTGAAGTATATGCAACGAGGTCCAATCCACTGGCTAATTAGTTGAAAAATAACTTGTCCTAACAACAACAAATGGAGCAAAAACATGATTTTTACAGCTGGTAAACAATAAAGATCATCAGAGGAAAATGGAAGACAAATCAATATCGGGGGAAAGAAAAACTTTTCTCAAGTTTGCAGCGTACAAATAAAACACTGATCAGACATAGACATTAACACCATTAGATACCGGCCAAGTGGTCCAGAAGTTAGGTGTTCATGCGCATAACCGTAGGTCCTGGGGTTGGAATCCTGAGAGTAGCAGGAGTCGTGGATGCGCACTGCTGATGAGTCCCGTACCAGGACGAAACAGCCGTCCAGTGCTTACAGGCTTTTAATGGTGGTCTAACAATGATTGATTGATGTCAGTCAGTCAGTCAACTGCAACGTAGAACTTCGTACGTAAGTACATCAGTTCATGTCGCCATACCACACATCAGCACAGAGAAGTAATCGTCAATTAAAATCTAATAGTAGAAGAGGTAGTAAAGGTATTAGGAGTAATCGGAGAGGTTAGGATTAGAAGATATTATTCACGAAGTATGATTTAATGAGAAAAGTTTAGAAAGTCAAAACTAGAGTTGTTGAAGAACCCAGAAGATTAGGATTTGAGAGAATAAATGCGCCGGCGCCATTGCCAACGATTTTGAGCCATGTCATTCAAGGTCTCTAACCATCGATCATTATCATCTCGCGGACCCCAACCAGGTAGTCGACAATTACCGACATGGCTAAGTCCACTCGTCAATGACTTCATGGATTTCTGCCATGTTTTGGTTTGGCCGCCCCTAACTTTCTTCCAACCTATTCCTACACTACAAAACAAAGCTCAACGAGGCAGTCGGTGGTTGAGCATACACAACACATGTCCCAACCACCTCAACTGATGAAGTTTCATTACTTCATCTATTGATCTGCCATTCTTACCTAGCTCCCGTTCCTAAAAACAGCGTTGCTCACTCGGCTGTCCCAGATTGATTCATGAGTTCTATGTGTAGATGAAAAAAACAAATAAAACGTGGTTTTCTTCCAGAAACAGAACTTACAGTTTGTTCATCATCATCAGGAACTTTTATACCCCAATCTAAACGACTTTTCGGTCTTGATATAGATACATCTTGAACATTATCCACAATATTATGTGCTATATCAGCCCAAACTGATTGACTGGATGATTTAGGAAATACTATTTCAAAAATAATAAAAAAGTATTTTGAAAAAAAAATCACTGATGATAAAAAATTTTTCTAAAAAAACATCATAGACGGTTCATGAAAACAAATTGAAATTTGAAATGTTTTATATTCTTTAGAAATCGTATTACAAACATGAATAGATGAAGTACATATAAACTGTTATAAACGGTTATGTTTGATTCAATCACAGCATTATCAGCTGATGAAAGATGACAAACTTTCTGCCTTCATATAGAGTTTTCACTTGCAAAAGTGAACAGATGTAAATGATTTTGAATTGGTGAACAGGAAATCTGCTGACCCAGAAAGGTTAAGTCTTTTTGGTCAATAAAAAGGCAACATCTTTTGGAAATTTAATGCTTAAACCGCGGTGTAGATTGGGCAGATCATTTTCGGTAATTCAGATAGTTTAATAGATAAGGTTGCAATCCTTCAGTGGACAAAGTTAGATTTAACATGTATAACCTATAGCCAAGTATAGTTTATGTAGACGTATGATATCCATTAAAGTATACCACCAAATTAAGAAAACCATTGAAAGTTGGCCTGTGTCATGGTAGGAATCGATAATCGGAAATTGAGCACTGTAGCTTACAATTAGCCAGAGAGGCCTAGACATATATATTAAGCAAAATCTATACACACTGAATATTAGTACTTTTTCTATACATCCTACTATCCCCCAATTATTTTGCAGTTGTCAACTGTAATCAATAAATTTTATTCAATGAAATCTCATAAACTGATTCATCATCACGTTGTAGCACGTAACATGCGTAACATGACCGCCATCATCTTAGTTACACTCATTCAATTAAACAGTAAGCAACAAAAGACGAACACTATGCCATAATTTCAACAAGAAACCACCGTAACAAATAATTTTACACATGATAGAGTGAGATATTGCGGCGTTAAGTTAATTAAATATCATAAGGCTTTAATAACACAATAATAAATAATTAAAATTACGATTTTCGTTGTGTTTTAAATTATAGAAACAATAGTACACAGACATTATTTAACGAAATATTTACCTCCTGAATCTAGCCATTTATGTAAATCATTTTTAAATGATGACAGTTTAAACATATAATTGTCTTCTTCGATCCATTCTACTGGATTGCCAGTTTCTTTCGACACAGGTACTCCTGACAAATTGGTTTCGTCAATTTCCCATGGCATATAAAATGCTTCATCTGAAATACTATACCAACCAGAATATTTGCTTCGATAAAGATTACCACTGGCGTTTAAACGCTTCTATAATAGGAAAAAGGTATGTATGAATTTACAAAGAGAGAGAGAGAGCAATCACGGCCCGCGATGTAGAGTTTAGTACCTTGAACTGTGCATTCAGTGACCTGAGTTTGAGCGTCGGTAAGAAGCTGACCGCTGAAGCTTTTGCAGAACGGTAGCATGGTAATTAGAACGTTTGACCGTCATAGTTCTGAGCCTTGTATCAAATATTTCAGCTTGAGCAATCAAATCGTATCACTAGGCGTTATTCACATAATATACAAATCTGTACTTGGTGAGCTATATCTTATATTGTATATATATCAAGCATTCATTTAAGCATAACTTTTAAATAAACAACTTACCCAAAACTCATGAACAGCTTTCACATGCCTAGTTTCAGTGGTACGAATGAAATCGTTGTATTTTACATGAGTAGCATGACAAAGAGTCTAAAATAAGAAGACATTAGATAAAATTTGCTTTGTCTACATCATAAACTGAAAAACAGTAATTGCATATTTTCGATCAAAATAAAATTTACATCTTACACAATTTGACCACCAATATCTCCAGTAACAGTAATTTTTTTAAAACATTGATCGATCCATGGTTTCAATAAAACTTAACAATCTTCACAACCCCGTAATACAAATTACCTGTGCTCACTAGTGACTAGCTTGGTGAGGAATCTTCTCCGAGTTCTAGTGAGAAGACGTGACCAGTGAAGTTCAACCTGTTCGGGTGTAGACAGTAACTACCGAAGACTGTGTATGAGGTTGCTCAACTCCTTGAATTGATAGAAGTTAGACATTAACACCGTCAGATACCGGCTCAGTGGTCCGATGGTTAGGCATTCGCCTACAATACCGAAGGTCCTGGGCTCGAATCCTGCGGGGTGCAGGAGTCGTGGATGCGCACTGCTGATCACTGGAGTCCCATACCAGGACGAAACGGCCGTCCAGTGCTTCCAGGTTTCTAATGATGGTATAACATTGATCGACTCATGGTTTCAATAAAATCTAAATTTGATGTTTTGTAAGAAACTACACGGAATATATTCACATAACGAAATAATTCACTGATACATAAAACTTGAATAAAAGAAAAAAATTATAGACTAAAAAGACATTCTACTAGGGACTTTAAAAGTCTGTTATTGGAAAAAATTGACAGAAATATCTATTTAACTTGAGTTACATTTGTTAAAGAACACTAGAATGAGGTTTTTACAACACACGAAAACGACAATGAGGAATATACGTTAAAAATGTGGGATAAATGTCTGAATTTTAAACATAGAACACGATAGTATTAGTAGTGAATGAAATATACCAGATAAGAAAACTAATAAAGATATAGACTATTTTCATTCCTCACATAAAATTCATGTTAAGAAGAAATTAAAAGCATTAAAGTGACTCAGAATGTCGCTCCGATATTCATTTCAATGACTGCTCAATGAAGACAATCAAGTCAACAGAACAGACTGAAACTCGGCTCCGTTTTCATCACAGTCACATACACAATACATTTAGATACATATTTTATATGAGATTTTGAAAACTATCGGATAATAAGAATATTTTATTGACAATGGAAACAGGTTAATTATCAAGAAACATTTGCAACAATAGCATTTTACGCTTCTTCAAAATCCATCGTCTAAACATCAAAATGCAGTCCGACTAGTAGTGAACAATCACCGACATTTTCGTGAAGTAAGTACGACAGATGCTTAGAAGGTTTACATCTTTTGAAGACGACGAACGTGACATGACCTTGAGATTTTGAGATGTTATCCATATCTTTTTGGAGATTTTGAACTCGGCCTAAATTTTTAAGGTTGCGAAACATTATTAGGAGAACTAATGAAGTTACAGTCCATCTGCCAACCCTGTTTAAGTTTTTATCATGACTAATCTTGTCAGGCAACATATACAGTAAAATATTTACCAACATTAACAGATAAGCAAAATTTCTTAACCAGTTTTGGACTGATGAGTACAAGCACAAACGTTTACATACACCTTTAAAATAGTTAAACAATGAATACCTGAAACAAAGGACTCATTTGATCACAATACTGTTGTGGATCAATATTATTGACAGATGCAGCGCGGCAAACCTGAAAATGAAAAAAAAAGATTTATACAGAAACTTTCTTTATTTAATTAATGTCAATTACAAATTATAACAACAAGTAAACGGTAACTGCATAATCTAGTCTCCTATTATTACAAGAGGAGAATAGCCGAAGTGCATCGGTTATAGGAATAAACACCGAAATAGAGTTGAAGGGACTATTGAGATGGAGCATAAAAAGGCGACCAAACAAAAGATTCAAAAACATATGAATATGAGACACGAAGTGTATCTTACAGATAACTCACTTTAGATCCATGTTCATCAGTTCCACAAGACAAAAACGTTTTACTGTGGTCACAGTAATCGAACACAAACGAATAGGTGGATGCAACATAATCTTCTTGGAAAGGTTTCAGTACTGACTGATTACGCAAACAAGTATATCTTGCCCAGGCATCAGCTAAACACGTGGTATATGCATGACCCAAATGAGGTTCTAAGAATCGGAAAAGAAATTCAAATTTAGATACGTGGAAATGACAGCAAACGCATGCAGGCAAACGAAAAAGGACTCGTAAGAATTAATATCAAACTATCCAGATGACGTTTAGGATAGTCAGTCAGTTACAACGTAAAACTTCGTACGTACGTACGTAAGTTCATGTTGCCATACCACATTAGCACAGAGACGCAATTGTCAATTCAAACCCCATAGTCGTAGAGATAGTAGAAGTATTGGCAGTACTTGGACAGATCAGGTTTGTAAAATATTATTCAGGAAGTATAATCTAGTGAAATAAACTTAATAAGAGAAAAATAACGAAGAATTTCAAAGAGAAAACAAAGAATGAGTGCATCTGCACACATGCAGACGATTTCGAGTCATGTCACTATTGTCTCGTGGACAACAACCAGATAGTCTACACCTGCCAACATGGCTCAGTCCAGTTTTCAGTGACTTCATGGATTTGTACCATATTTTGGTCTGGCCGCCCCTAGATTTCTTCCAACCTACTCTTATATCACACAACATCGCAAGTCTGGGAAGTCTGTGGTTGGGCACTCGTAATACATGTCCAAACCACCTGAACTGATAAAGTTTCACTACTTCATCAATTGATCTACCATCCTTAACTTAAACCCTCTTCCTAACAACAGAATTGCTTACTCAGTGATTTCAGGACATGCGAGCAATGCTTCGAAGATACGCATGATCGAAAACCAGTAACCCACGAAAATCCTCTTCTCTTACTGGCCATGTTTTGCATCCCTTTTACAGGACTGAGCAAACCGCTGCGCAGTACATTCGCCCTTTGGTTAGCGGACGTATATCTCACCTACGCCATAAGTGACGCACATCGGCAAAAGCCAATCGATTCTTCTGTATCCGTGCTGAGATTTTGTCCGACACCAGGCCAAAAGGAATTATGAGACTCCAAAGATATGTGGAGCGGTCAACACGATCAACTGCTTGACTCCTTATCATAAGTTTAGGTAACGATGCAAGCCAATCCTGAAGCAACATACTCAACTTTGCAGTGGGTGGGGGGAAATAGCATCTCCAACATGCTTGCATTGTTGCTTAAGATGGTCAAAAGACAGCTTTTGGTCTACGTCTTCCTCGAATAGAACTATCATCGGCATATTCTAAGTCTAAAAAATGAATCTGTCAGTAAAAGTTCAACTCCTGAAAAGTAAGACAATAAGTTTCGGATCTGAAAGCATGTCAATGACAGTTGAATCGGAATGGAGAAAGTAGACAATCCTGATTAACGCCTACACAAAGCAATCGATTCCGACGACAGGTGACTGAAAAACGTAGACAAGACACAAAACCAAAGTTGATGCTATCTCAACGGAAACCAAAGTCTTTGATATTATATGAAAATTGTAAATTCTTATGCAGTTTACACTCTATAAATTGTGCAATCCTCCTTTGCATTTATATTTCTCACGTTATGTCCTAACGAACATTGATCGAATCAATGATATACAACACTAATCCTATACATTTTTGTGCCAAGAAAATGTAATTTAAAACAACTATTGAGCAGTAGATTTACAACTTTCCAAACAGAAATAGTGTCAACAGATAACATTAGCAAACTGATGATAGTACTTTGTATGCTTGTCTTAAGAGCAGTTTAAAATGATGCTCAACGTTTAACCATTCCAGTTCAAACAAAGCAAAGTACACCTTTTGCGACTTACATACAAACTGTATCATATGATTGTTGACTTCAAATGTGTCTTTAACGTGCGTATGACTATCATGAAATCACATTCAACGATATTTCCAGGTAACAAGCTTCTGTGATACTAAAGTTGCACACGAGGAAATCCAGGAGCGAACGCCTAAAATATCTTATCGGCTGATAGGCATCATAGTAAAGGACCGGGAATCAATGCCATACTTCACACAAGTTGATTGATGAAAGATTAAAAGCCCTAACAATCAATATGAAACTTCAACATTACAAACAACCATCTACACTTCATATAAATTGAAAATATTTTCTCATTTGCGATTTAATTGTGTTTAGTATTATTGTGGTGGTCAATTTCAGCGTGTCCTTAAACTTTGATATTCGCTCGTATAGGCAATCGTCACCAAACAGCACCCGACGGTTATATATCAGAATTCTAATACGAAGTGTTGAATCCATTTAGTTTTAGCACAACATAAAATGTGACAACGGACCACAAGCAGACAGGGGAGAAACACTAGCGAGCAAATGTGCGAATGGACGGACTAACGGATGAGGCAAATGGGAGAAGGCTAGCGAGCCAACTCCGAGAGATAAAGCATGACTAACAATTTATAGACAGATATGTATTAAGCAAGTAGGTATGCACACACATGAATACAAGCGACAAATGAGTGGCAGGGTCAAAAGACAAGTGGGACAAGTCATGTCAGTTAGACATTGAATAAATCGCTACATTATCATTGTCTGACAATGGTTGTAAAACATTAATACCAAAAACTATTATTTCCTGATAATTTCATTGAACAAAAATGACTTGACAGTACGTTCGAGCAAATGAACTATTTGTGCTACGAAACCGTCTAGTCATTCATATTACTTCTTTTCAGCAAACTTTGTGTAGAGATTGTCTTCAACAGATGTGATTGAATTGTGGAAAAGTGAGTGTGTGAAAGGTACATTATTTAAAATGAATGTGCAAAGGAAATATATGCATGACAAATTGTACAAAAACTATTGGATTTCATTTTCTGTTCGTGCAAGAAACATACCAAACATGAAAGTGAATATTTTAATTGCATCTCCGTACCACATGTATTTTGCATATACGTAGTTGCTCAAAAGACATTGCATGCAAATCAAACTCTCGATCTCTAAGTTCAGTACATTTTCATCTGTAGTACAAGAAATATATCGCCTTAAATAATACACGAATGGCATTTTATTCTACTTAAAAACATAGTTATATATCTACTCAAGATTACAGAATTCATCACTTAAACTTAAATTACACTTAAATGGAGACAATTCATCAAAATGTAAGCACTAGTCCATCACCTATCTGATAACTTACTTGCATTGACGTAAAATATTGGACACGTAAGAAAGAAAGGCTTTTCAGCATGAGTGGATGCAAAACATCGTAAATGATTACTTGCTACCGTTCGAAGCAGAGGCTGAGAAAACTAATTCGAAAAAAAATAAATTAAGTAAACTAACCCTAACAAAAAATAAAACAAGACTGTTGATGTCTAGTTTTTATTTGTATAAATGGAAGTACAAACAAATTTCACACAGGTGAGAGTAAACGAAAAATGGAACATTTTTCAAAAATAGATTCAGTTAAACATCACAAGTTATTCATAAAAATCCTAATATTAAATAGAAGTCATACTCACAAAACACATTCAGCTTGCTTGAAATCGTCCACACGAATCATGATTCATTACACAAACTGCTCAAAACCTGAAAAATAGAAAAAAAACTACTGAGTTAGCACAAAATCAACTTAATATTGAAATAAATTTATGGTGACTCAGAATGTCGCTCCGATATTCATTTCAATGACTGCTCAATGATGACAATCAAGTCAACAGAACAGACTGAAACTCGGCTCCGTTTTCATCACAGTCACATACACAACACATTCAAGCACATATTTTATATGAGATTTTGAAAACTATAAGAATATTTTGTTGACAATGGAAACAGGTTAATTATCAAGAAACATTTGCAACAGTAGTATTTTATTCTTCTTCAAAATCCAGTTAAATTAATCACAGTGCTCGGATCCTGTGTGCGAGTTTCGGAGACGCACCATACATCGATGGCGCGAGATTCTAAAGGAAGCTTGTTGTCCTACTTCACACAATGTCCAGAAACTAAAAGTTTCAACATGTTTGAAGAGTGGTTTCATAAGACCAGGAATTACGCTTTGTTAGCAGTGTGGGGTGATAAAAGATTGTGAGAAGTATTAGTCGTCGAGATAGGAGAGATGTTAGGGGGTGTAGGAAGGATTTACTTGTGACCAATTCGGTCTCGTGTGCTGTCACGGGTACGGGAGCGGATGTCACTTCCCGGCTGATCATACAATGGAGGTGTTTCTTGAAGAACCTGTAAAGGAAATTGGATTAGTGTCGGTCTTAGAGACCGGGGATCATGACCGCAGCGCCTAAGCGACAACTGCTTGAGGCTGATCACGCACGGCCCTTTTATGGGAAGTTTTCAAAGTGTTAGCCCCGCTCTTCAAGTGGTTTTACTGTCGGAGACAGAAGTCTGTGAGGCAAACTGTGTGAGAAGGCAGCATTGCTGCAGACACTGGCTGCCCGAGGGAAACACCTTACTGCCGTCACACCCCTACATAGTCAGCAGTATGACAGCCTCCAGAACTTGAGTTGATGCTTTTAGTCTTATGGTTATCCAATCGACCTGCCTGGCATGGTAGAACATACAGGAACATATGTTCCAGCCAATATAGCTCATTTGCGTCATCACGATAGGTAAGGCCGACCACTAAGTCAAGGTAGCAGCTACGGTCGTTGGAAACATACAAAGAGAGTCTTAAACTGGTATAAGAATTAGAACTTTGATTTAGAGACAAGTTTTGGTAAAAAATTAGATTTAAGGTCTCCATCACGATCTGACATAAACTACACATCAAATTTCACTTTGGCTGCATGAATGAGTAAATGAATTCAGCGCCAAAATCCTAAACCCATTATCTCGAACTTATTTGTCCAGTAATTAGTTTGGCCAATTTTTCGCAAACAATAACTCATCTCACAGCGAATTAACAATAGATAACATATTATTACCTGCATCCGTTCCGTCTATATTAACTTACCAATACCTCCTACTGACAGTAATCGCATGTATGTGTTTATTGGCACAGACCCCTACGAAGAGTAAACTTCACTTTTTTCGTCTACGCAGATCGATAGAGCAATTCCCTGAACCAATAAGCAACATTGGAAACCCAACATGAACAAAACCATAATCTTAGCCAGCCACAGTAAAAACTCGGGATCTAAATCATAGTGACCACCGCCGCCAACCAATAAAGCAAGAGTGGGGAAGTAAAGGAGGACCCTGAAGGAATACAGACAACATTGACTAAGGAAATTTGGGGTCAATTTGGGCGATATTGCATCAATATGTTGGGCCTTTCACCTAGGATAGAAAAATAACGTGACATTCCATTTAAATTTTTTACAATAGGCAAAGGGTGTACACATTTACACTCATATAGTCGCCAAATAGTCTGCTTTTTGCCTAAAGTCTACATAGGGTGAAAAAATACAGGTTCAGCCATTATTTTTCCATTCTTGTACAACTGAATATCACACAAATAGATTTTGGAGTATAGTTTGCCTCAACGGCACGACAAGTTACGTCCAACTTCGAACCTTATTAAGTTAACGTATAACCTGAAAGTACTTTGTATGCTGGAGTGTGAGGTTAAATGGGAGAGGAAATAACACGTGAAAAGTGAGCTGCAGACACAGCAGAGACATAGAATGAACTTACCTTCAGTATGAAAATCAGTCAACAACAACCAGAAATAACACAAGCATGAGATTAGGACAAACTAATTATCGGATTTGAAAGTTGGTAACAAGTTTCGAATGCGTTACACACGCAACTTTTGAAAAGCCCTCCAATGCCCAATATCTTCTTCTCGAGCTAGTATGAGCCACTCAGTTTCGTTGAGATAGATTCTTGTTCTTTCGGTATATTTCCACTTACTTTGTTTCAATAGTGTTGAGTAACCTCCAATATCCGGTGACTTATGTCGTCAGCTTCGGTTTTCAGTATTAAAAATTATAGGTTGGTCAACCTGTGTTGATCTTTACAGCTTGTTTTCAGATGAAGATCCAGCCTCTCCTACAAAGTTTTCTCCTATGGGGTTTGTGACGCTTGCTCGGGTAAATGAACTGCAGTCATTTTCACTTCATCTGTAAAGAGGAATCTCATAATGAGTTTGTTCGATCAGGGCTTTCAAACCATCTTGTAATGGCCTAGGGAAATGGTTCGTTCTATTAGATGAGACACTTATTACCAAAACCTTTATTAAGATACGGATAAAATATATACGATAAACTTACATTCTACGATAAGTTTAAGCGTTTTAAGCGCTCGTCCTGGAAGATTCCACGGTGGCCTAGTACCCACACGCTGGATTCGCTCTAGTGTGATATTATATTTAGTCAGGCTGTAAAACTCTAGGCAAGATATAACATCCATGGGTTATAAAATCTGACAAATAAACCTCTTTGAAGCATTCGAGTGATCGGCAAAGTGACCATAAGAATCGTAAACCTTTGGAAGCTGCTGCAGCACAGTGGACAGTAGTTTTCAAGTCTTGACTTACTATATCTGACTCTTAAGTCCTCATATTCCTTCTTTTGTGGTAGAGACTTACCGCCGACAGTATGCTAGTAACTAAGACTGTGTCTGATGTGTATTAGCACGCTTTCTAGGGTAAATTTCTAATCCGCCACTATGGGACCATCTATCATTCGTCCAAGTCTACTTGGAGGTCATGATTATCAGCCTCACTGGGGATTGTTCTCTGAATTTCGACAGCATCTACAGTCAGTAGTGTCCATGAATTCGGTAGTCTTAGTAATTTACTGACGTAGAAAATAAAAAATAAAGGACCGGAAGTGGAGCCTCGTTGTACACCACGCCGTGTGGTAAGTGTAATATTTACTCTAGCCCTCAGTATTCGATCACTGAGGAATTTCTCTATCTATTCCTGTATGGTATTTTTTCCGGAGCTTGAGAGCTTCTACCTGAACTATAAGTGAGAAAGCTTAACGAACTTTCTGCTAAAATGCATTCACAAAATTTAGACTATATAGTGGTGATCGAGCCGAAATTGACTATTATTACCACTAAATACTAATTAAGAACCCGTCAGTTAGAAGACAAATAAATCCATGGAAAAGAATATATTTGCTGGCGACTTCGTGGTATCGAAATGATACTGAAATCGTACCAGAAAAGAGGGGCGGAATTACAGAGGCGGTGGGGCGAAAATGGCATTAACACAAACGGAATTTTGTGCATAGATAAAAAGCACAGTTAATCAGTCACTAACTCCGCCAGTAGAACCTTCGGGGCTACTGCCGGTCCCAAGCCCGGGTAAAGGAGGAGGGTTGGACATGGGGTTGTCGACCCCATACCGTCAAAAACTAACTTGCCAAGAAAACGCTAACCAGAAAAAATAATTCAAACCATTTTAACCCTGCCCTGGAAGTTGGAAGAAGAATTATGACGTCGCGTGATGAAAGCCGAGTTCCCTCGGAAGTCACGGGGCTGATGCCTCTTCTGACAACCAGAGCAACCATTTTTTTAGGTACATGGAACGTTCGTACATTGTGAGAGACTGGAAGACTATTTCAAGTTGTGGCAGAAATGAAACGATACAACCTCGAGGTGCTCGGCATCAGTGAAACGCATTGGACACACTTAGGACAACTGAGACTAGCTTCAGGGGAACTGCTGTTATACTCTGGTCATGAAGAGGAAAACGCTTCACATACACAAGGAGTTGCACTGATGCTGTCCAAACAGGCACAAAAGGCACTAATAGGATGGGAATCTCATGGGCCGAGGATCATTAAAGCATCCTTCAAAACAAAGAAATAGGACATTACAATGAACGTCATCCAATGTTATGCACCTACCAATGACTACAATGACGATGTTAAAGATCAATTCTACGAAAGGCTGCAGTCAATCGTCGAGAAACGCCCAACAAAGGATTTGACGATTCTTATGGGAGACCTGAATGCCAAGGTTGGAATGGACAACAATAGCTATGAAGACATCATAGGACGACATAGACTGGGAGAAAGGAACGAAAACGGTGAGAGATTTGCAAACCTATGTGCCTTCAACAAACTGGTCATCGGTGGCACAATATTCCCGCACAAACGCATTCACAAAGCCACATGGATTTCACCGGACCACACTTCTCAAAACCAAATTGACCATATCTGTATCAACAAAAAGTTCAGAAGGACTATGGAGGATGTGAGAACCAAGAGAGGAGCTGATGTAGCTTCAGATCACCACTTGCTGATCGCCAAAATGAAACTGAAACTAAAGAAGCACTGGACAACGGGGCAGACAACATCACAGAAGTTTAATACAGCCTTTCTTCGGGATACCGTAAAACTCAACGAATTCAAGATAGCCCTCAACAATAGGTTCCAGGCCTTTCAGGGTCTACTCAATGGAGAGGAAGCAACGTTGGAAAACAATTGGAAAGGGGTCAAGGAGGCGATCACTTCAAAATGTCACGAAGTTCTGGGTCACAAGAAGTACCATCATAAGGAATGGATCTCTGTTGATACGCTTGCAAAAATTAAAGAAAGGAGGAACAAGAATGCAGCAATCAATGTCAGCCGAACAAGAGCATAGAAAGTTAAGGCGCAAGCCGAGTATACAGAAGCAAACAGGGAAGTGAAGAAGAGCATCAGAGCTGACAAACGAAAATATGTGGAAGATCTAGCAATGACGGTGGAAAAGGCTGCAAGAGACGGAAACTTGGAACAATTGACGAAACAACAAAGAATCTGGCCGGAAGCTAAAGTGAACCAGAACGACCAGTGAAAAGCAAGGAAGGCAAAATAATCAGCAACACTGACGAACAGCGAAATAGGTA